CGGTGAGTGGGGACCCCGGGGGCAGGGGAGAGGGAGAGAAACAGCAGGAGAAATCGCTGCCTGGAGGAAGCGGCCGCAGCCACAAGGGGATCGGAGCTGACCCCCGGCTGGGACTGGAGAGCCCCGCCCCAGCAGCCAGCTGGGAGGCAGTGTGGGGTGGGGGTCGGGGCAGCTGAGGGGCAGCAGGGACTGGGGCCGGGAAGGGGTTTGGTCAAGCCCCGGCGCGTTCTCTGCCCCGAGCCCTGGGGGGAGATTTCACCAAGGGGGATTCCCGGCCCGGCTGCGATGCCCCGCATGGAGCCAGGGGAAGAGCCGAGGCTCCCGGATCTCCAGGGATCCGGGGAAAGGGAGATCCCCAGAGGTGCCCGCACACGTCAGAGACCCGTGGGTATGGGGGGAGCAGGGCTGTATCCTGGGAAGTAGGGACCCTCTAAGGGGGCTGGATGGAAACCTAGAGAAAGCCTGAGCTCCAGGTGCAATGCTCTGGCTAGGATGGTAACAGGATCCTTGGATCCATAAACAGGGAACTAACCCAGTAGTGGCAGGGAGGGGGTATCACCTCTATAGAATCAGAAGATTTGGGTTGGAAGGGACCTCAGGAGGTCACCTAGTCCAACCCCCTGCTCAAAGCAGGACCACTAAATCATCCCTAGGGCAATGACCATTACAGGAGGCTGTGTCCAGTTCTGGTATCCACCCTTCAAGAAAGGACATTGCGAAAGTGGAGGGGGTTCAAAGAAGAGCCATGAAAAGGATGTGAGGTCTGGGTAACCTGCTTCCAGCTGAGGCCCCAAAGAAGCTCAATCAATTAGGCTTTTCCAAAAGGAGGTGACTTGATGCCACTCGTCCCTCTGTGGGGAGGAGATCGCTCAGAGCAGAGGGCTCTTCAATCTAGCAGCCAAAGACAGAGCAAGCTTCAGGAGCGGAAGCGAGACACATTCAGACTAGAAATAAGGTGCGAGCCGGGGAATGAAGCACTGGGGTACGTTACCAAGGGCGTTGGTGGGTTCGCCATCACCTGGGGTCTTTTGGGAAAGATTGGGGGTGTTTCTAAAAGCTCTGCTCTGGTGAAAGCAGAAGCTGGGTTAGATGCAGGAGTCGCTGGCTGAGATGCTCCAGCCTGAGTTACACAGGACTAGGTCATCACCATGGTCCCTTCTGGCCTTCGCATCTGTGTATGTTCCCTCACTCCCAGCAGGTGCCAGGACAGCAGGTGAGGAGAAGCCCCGCTGGACGGGCCTGTGGAAGCAGAGCCGCAACGGACATCCCGGAGCGCCAAGTGGGGAGATGCCAACGGGCCAGGGTGGCAGCAGAGAGATCTCCAGGAGGGAAGAGGCTTGTGGGCACTCGGGGTCCTTATGGGGATGCAGCAGGGGGAGCAAGCCTACCACTGCCCCGACTGCAGAAAGGGTTTCAGCCAGAGCACAAACCACCTAACCCACCGGCGAGCACACCTGGAGGAGAGACCCTACGAATGCCCTGATTGCGGGAAGGCCTTCAGCTGGCGCTCCCACCTGCTGGAGCACCAACGCATCCACACTGGGGAGCGCCCCTACCAGTGCGGGGAGTGCGGCAAGAGCTTCAGCTGGACTTCGGACCTGATCCAGCACCAGAGCACTCACACGGGCGAGCAGCCCTACCGCTGCCCCGACTGTGGGAAGAGCTTCAGCCGTGGCTCCAACCTGCTGCAGCACAAGCGGATCCACACGGGGGAGAGGCCCTACCGATGCCCCGAGTGCGGGGAGAGCTTTGGCCACAGCTCACACCTGGTGCGGCACCAGCGCATCCACACGGGCCACAAGCCCTACAAGTGCACCGAGTGTGGGAAGAGCTTCATCTCCAGCACCTGCCTCCTGCGGCACCGGCGCATCCACACGGGAGAGAAACCCTTCACCTGCCTGCCGTGCGGGACGCGCTTCAGCCACGGCTCCTCCCTGCTGCGCCACCAGCGGGCCCACAAGGGCGAGCGCCCCTTCTTGTGCAGCCAGTGCGGGAAGGGCTTCAGCCAGAGCTCCTACCTCTCTGAGCACCTGCGCACCCACACCGGCGAGCGCCCCTACAAGTGCCCCCACTGCGGGAGGGCCTTCGCCCAGGGCTCCATGTTGGCCCGGCACCAGGGGGCCCACACCAGCGAGCACCACTTCCCCTTCTTTGGCTGCGGGGGGAGTTGATGCAGGGCAGGGAGGCTGCTGCAAACACTCACGCTCCTTCGGCTGGGGAGAACCTGCTGCTGCCTCCAGCTGGGCTCCTGCCCCAGGAGCCTCAGCCACCGCATCAAGTTGAGAGTCTGCAAAAGTGGGTTATGGAGACACGTCTCCCTGGGGTCCTTCCCCGTTAACCCATGGGGGGACATACCACTGCATCAGGCTCAGGGTTTTGGCACTGGTGAGGTCTCTTCCAACCCTGATATTCCAGTGGTTGATCATGCAGCCACATCCCACTGCATTCAGCTGGGGCCCTGGCCTGGAGAACCCAGGGGGGATACATGTCACTGATCTGGCTGGGGTCCTGTGCTAGTGGAATCCAGAGGGGACATGCCACTGGCTCAGGATAAAGGTCTGCCATCTCCCTGTGGCCCTGGCTGAGTGGCCCTATAGCAGTGGTTTTCAAACTGTGGGTCGCGACCCAGTACTGGGTCACGGAATGGAAGGCACTGGGTCGCAGCAGCTCTGGTCAGCGCCGAGGGTCCTGTTAAAAGTCCCATTGATGGTGCTGCCTGGCTAAGGCAGGCTAGTCCCTACCTGTTCTGACACCGCGCTGCGCCCTGGAAGCGGCCAGCAACAGGTCCGGCTTCTAGGTGGGAGGGACATATGGCTCCACGCACTGCCCCAGTCCCAATCACTGGCTCCGCACTCCACTGTCGGGGGGGGCACGGTTCCTGCACGCGAGAGCCTCGCGGAGCCGCTTGCACACCTCTGCCTAGGAGCTGGACCTGCTGCTGGCCACTTCCAGGGCACAGTGCAGTCCGCGGTGCCAGGACAGGCAGGAAGCCTACCTCTGCACCCCTGCTACACTGCTGACCGGGAGCCGCCCGAGGTAAGCCTGCACCCCAACCCCACACCTCAATCCCCTGCCCCAGCCCTGAGCCCCCCCAAACCAGAGCCCCTTTCTGCACCCCAAACCCCTCATCCCCGGCCCCAGCCCAGAGCCCGCCCCCCCCAGCCCAGAGCCCTGACCCCCTCCCACACTCCAACAC